GAATGCAAAGACGGCGCAGAAGGGTGCTGGATACATCGGTGGCGTATGTGCGAGGGGAGGAGAACCTGGCTGGCTGGAGGCCCCGCAGTGACAGCCTCATCCTGGACCATCAGTGGGAGCTGGAGAAACTGAGTCTCCTGCAGGAGGTGAGAACATCTTGTTATTTGGTTTTTAATGTGATACAGAATTAAAAGAATGTGTCATGGCAGCTCTGCTGAGGATCTGAGAACTCATTTCCTTCTGCTGTATGTTAGGTGGAGAAAACCAGACACTACCTCCTCCTTAGGGAGAAGCTGGAGTCCACCCTGCTGCTGGGCCAGGAGTCGCTGCTGTCCTGCGGGAGTGAGGATCTAACCGAGTCCTCTTCCCCATCCACCCACCTGGGCCTGGGCCACAACACTTGCCCCGGCCCTGACATACCCAACGAGAGGCAGAAGGAGCTGGCTGCAAAGGTGAATCAGTGACTAACCTGAAATTATATATAAAATTAAATATACATAAATGATAATAATTTAATATCCTGTATTGTCTAGTATACACAATTATTTCTTATTTTTTTTGTAAAATATGTTTTGCAATTCTTTCTGAATTAAATTTTGGCAAAAAATATTTTTTTTATATATTCATTTAATATATTTTACAGTATATTTACTACGGTATTACAATATTTTTTATTTAATAGTGATTTAATTTTATTCTATATAATTTACCAATATAAAAATCAAATTTTATATATTATATGAAATACTCAAAAAACGGAATATGATATTATAATCAATTCTGAAATTCACTTTTACAACCTTGTTCTCATATCACCTTTGTCACCAAACCACTTTTAAAGTGGTAATTATAGTTTCTAATCTAATTTAATCTAATACTATAAATTGCTGTAATGTTCAAAATAATTCATATACAGTGATCACTTCAGGAAATCATGAGAAAAAGGTTCTTGTCAATGAATTTAACATTCCCATTTCTGTTTGCCCCAACAGTGTCTTCGTTTGCTTAACCACACCTTTAACAGGGACTACAGCCATGTGTGTGTTAGCGCCAGTGAGAGCAAGGTGAAGATGCTATTTAAAATATTTTACACTTTTTCCTTCTGTATCATATGATACAGTAAGACGATTTTAAGTGACATGTGACGTGACATGTGACCCATACTTGGAATTAGTGCTCTGCATTTATCCCATCCAAACTGCACACACACAGCAGTGAACACACACCCGGAGCAGTGGGCAGCCATTTATGCTGCGGCGCCCGGGGAGCAGTTGGGGGTTCGGTGCCTTGCTCAAGGGCACCTCAGTCGTGGTATTGAAGGTGGGAGAGAGTGCTGTACATTCACTCCCCCCACCTACAATCCCTGCCGGTACGAGACTCGAACTCACAACCTTTGGGTTATGAGTCCGACTCTCTAACCATTAGGCCACGACTTCCCAGGAAGTCACTTTTTAAGACTTTTTAAGAGGTCAGACCGCTAAGAATATATTGCCTTAAAGGGATAGTTCACCCAAAAATGAAAATTAGCCCATTAATTACTCACCCTCAAGGCATCCTAGTATATGTATATGACTAGGGTTGCAAAAAGGTGGAAATTTTTCAGTAAATTTCGGAAATATTCCAGAAATTTGGGAAACTTTCCAGGATTTTTTGGAATATTCAAGGGATTTTTGGAAAGTTTCCAGAAATTTACCAGAAATTTTCCACCCCTTTGTAACCCTATATATGACTTTCTTCTTTCAGACGAATCCAGTTGGAGTTATATTAAAAATTGTCTTTGATCTTCCAAGCTGTTTAATGGCAGTCAGCGGGTGTTGCAGTTCATCAGTCCAAAAGAAGTGAAATAAAGCGCATCCATCCATAATAAAAAGTGCCTCACACGGCTCCTAGGGGTGAACAAAGGCCTCCTGGAGCGAATCGATGCATTTTTGTAAGAAAAATATCCATATTCAAAACGTAATAATCACTTTAATCTAGCTTGCGCCAACAGTTGTACACGGAAGCAGCTCCGGGAGGATGACGTAAGATGTCGGCGTTGCGCATGCGCCGGTGAGTCTCGTGAAAACCAACGTTTGTTAACAGGAGCAAAGGAAGCAATGTTTCCTTACTTTAGCAAAGGAAAACCAGTCTCCTCTTGGCTTATATCAAAATCCTCCGACATTCTTCTTTACAATTCCTCGTTTTGTACTTCTAATTCATGACCGTTGTTTTGATCTTTCCTCTGCGCTTCTGCGTTCGTCACTTCTGAGAGGCGCAACGCCGACGTCTTACGTCATCCGCCCGGAGCTGCTTCCGTGTCCAACAGTGTGTGCAAGTTAGATTAAATTAAATAAGTTTTAAATATGGTTATTTTTCTTACAAAAATGCATTGATTCTCTACAGGAGGCCTTTGTTCACCCCCCGGAGCCATGTGAGGCACTTTTTATTATAGATGGATGCGCTTTATTTCACTTCTTTTGGACTGATGAACTGCAACACCCGCTGACTGCCATTAAACAGCTTGGAAGATCAAAGACAATTTTTAATATAACTCCGACTGGATTCGTCTGAAAGAAGAAAGTCATATATAGGGTTGCAAAGGGGTGGAAAATTTCTGGGTAAATTTCTGGAAACTTTCCAAAAATCCCTGGAATATTCCAAAAAATCCTGGAAAGTTTCCAAAATTTGTGGAATATTTCCGAAATTTACTGGAAATGTTCCACCTTTTTGCAACCCTAGTCATATACACCTAGGATGCCTTGAGGGTGAGTAATTCATGGGCTGTTTTCATTTTTGGGTGAACTAACCCTTTAAAAACGTTCAAACTTATGTTTTCTGAAAACATAAGAAGAGTTTTTACTATTGCTGCAGAAACCTACAGAAATGTTTGTGTGAAGGTGTGTGTTTATGTTCTGTGTATAATGACTGATTTCTCTGTTGTGATTTGTTGTAGTTGAGCCAGATGTCAGTAACTCTTTTGAAAGACTCTGCCTCAGTGTGTGCTGAAAACACCCTCACCCCGTCCTCCACATGCCCCTCATTGGTGGAGGGACGCTACGGCCACAACGCTGAACTCAGGTCAGTACTTAGTGACTTCTGTTTTATTTTGAGTTTTAAAAGAATTAAAATTTAAAGGTGATTCTGCAACACAAACCAAATGGAATTGCAAAAACAACAGTAAGAAAAGTTTTTTTAATCATTTCGTAGTCTGCCATTGATCAGAATGACAGATAGTCCTGTCCTAAATTCATGCTTTTGATAAAGCTAATGCATCAGGCTAGTTTGAGAATAAACCTGTGAATGATTTATATTATAGGTATTTCTGTATATTAAAGGGTTAGTTCACCCAAAACTGAAAATTCTGTCATTGATTAATCACCCTCATGTCGTTCCATACCCGTAAGACCTTCGTTCATCTTCAGAACACAAATTAAGATATTTTTTGATGAAATCTGAGAGCTTTCTGACACTGCATAGACAGCAAAGCAACTGACACGTTCAAGGCCTAGAAAGGTAGTAAGGACATCTTTAAAATAGTCCATGTGATATCAGTGGTTCAACCGTAATGTTATGAAATTACAAAACTACTTTTTGTGTGCAAAGAAAACAAAAATAACAACTTCATTCAACAAATTCTTCTCTACTGTGTCAGTCTTCGACGCGTGTTAAAGAGACTAGCACGACGCAGTGGTACTCTCATGAACAAGCGAAGACTGACACGGAAGAGGAGAAATTGTTGAATAAAGTCGTTATTTTTGTTTTCTTTGCGCAATAAAAATATTCTCGTAGCTTCATAACATTAAGGTTGAACCACTGATATCAAATGGACTATTTTAACGATGTTCTTACTACCTTTCTGGGCCTTTAACGTGTCAGTTGCTTTGCTGTCTATGCCGTGTCAGAAAGCTCTTGAATTTCATCAAAAAAATCTTAATTTGTGTTCCGAAGATGAACGTTCTTACGAGTTTGGACATTAGTGTGAGTAAGAATTTTCATTTTTGGGTGAACTATCGCATTAAAATAGGAGAAATTATTTTAACATTAAGAAAAATCTTTACATGTTTTTAAATATGTCTGCCAAATATTGTTCCACATGAAATGCTATCTAACTAATTGTTGCATCTATATTCTTATTGCTCATATGTGCAGACCCCCAACACCTCGATCTCGTGCTCTCAGCCCCATCCCTGACTCTGAAACAGAGAGCAAAATGTCTCCTCAAGAGTCCAAATCAAGAACCCACACTTTTGTGCCAGACATTCAGGAAATCCGTGTCAGGTAAAAAAAAAAAAAATTGTACAGATTATACAAATTGTTTATTGTTCAGAGGATGAACAATTCCTTTTCATGTTACATTTGCCTGAATATTAAATTTGAGATTTAAGGAATTTGCATCTTTGGAAGTTAACTCTAACCTGTACCCTATTTTATTGTTGCAGCCCAATTGTATCAAAGAAAGGTTATTTGCACTTCCTGGAGCCCCACAGTAATGGCTGGGTTAAGAGATATGTGGTGGTACGCCGGCCTTATGTCTACATCTACAACACAGAGAGAGACACAGTGGAAAGGGCCATTCTTAACCTGTCCTCTGCACAAGTGGAGTACAGTGAAGACCAGCAGGCCATGCTGAAGGTGAAACATTTATTCATTTATTTTTGAAAAAGTCAGTCTCTTCCAAAGCAACACATTGTGAGTAAATCGACTATTTATAGACTGAACTGTAATTCGCCTTCTGAATACCAGCAGGCAATGCTGTAGGTGAAGCATCTGCAAATATATATTTTTTCTTATTCTATTCAATTTTATTATTGTTTTTTTGTTTTTTTAAGTCAGTCACTTTTAAGGGAACATATTGTGAAATCTACTGTTTATAGACTGAACTGTAAACCAATGTCTGAATACCAGGAGGCCATGCTGAAAGTGAAACTTTTGAAAATTGTATTTTATTTTATTCCAAGGCAACACATTTTCAGTAAATCGACTGTTTATAGGCTGAACTAATTTAATGTCTGTCTAAACTGCAGATGCCCTACACATTTGCGGTATGCACAGAGCATCGTGGGATACTCCTTCAAGCCAGTAATGACAAGGAGATGCATGATTGGCTGTATGCCTTTAACCCTTTGCTTGCTGGATCTATCAGGTACAGTAAAGCACACATCTAAGCCTTTTAAAGACCTGTCATACCAATATTTATTTAACTTTCTCCTTCTTATCAGGTCTAAACTGTCAAGAAGAAGAGCCGGGCAGATGAGGTTTTGAGCCCACTACATGTATACCTTCTGTACAACTCTTCGAGGACAAAAAACACAAAGGACTAACCTTGTAAATAGATCTACTGACAGATCCCCCAGTTTCTGTGCTTATTCAACTCTCTGACCCTCTGTTTCCTACATGTGTGTACCTGAACCTGCCCACACTAGCACCAACTGTGCACCTGTATCTTAAAGGCCCCTTTGTTGTGCATCTACAGTGGCCTAAATATACAACTTATAGCGCCAAGAGAACAGGCTAACTACTTTATTGGGGTAGAGATAGTATGCTTATGTAGTCTTCAGCAACATTTTAGAAAGCAGGTGATGGGAATTTCTAATTCTGAAGCTGTCAGCTCATGCAAACACATCTGAATTTGTTACTGTGAAGAGTGACGTCCATAGCTTGGGTTTGTGGGGAAATGGATCACATGGCCTTACTGTGTTACTCTATGGGTTTAAAACGATAAAACTGGTCAGTATTTAAATCAGCAGACCATATGTTTATTCATCTCTTGGCTATGGAAGATAGAATTGATCAATGATACGCAGTTCTTAGCAAGGAGCAGATGAATCACATCATATTACGCTCTTACTCTCTTTAAGTGCAGTTCTTGGACACAGTTCAACCCATCATAAATACTCATATACCTTTATAATGTTTCCCTTGTATGGCCTTGAAATGCATACAGTTTTCAAAATAGCCAGGACGCATTAGCGAAAATTTGGCTAAGGAGAATGGTTGCATTCTCATGTCTCTGTATGAGAACCATTATAAAGATTTGGCCTATTTTTGTTGGAGTACTGGTCAGTAGATTTATCTAAAATGTATCATAAAAATTATCGGTATCCCCAAATGATCTAATTTACTTTTAAAATTTCTATTAAAGTCTTATCTTGTTAGGTATTTATTTAACATGTTTTTATTTATTTCAGCATGTATTTATTGACAAAGACTAATATTTTTGAAGAAGTACAGTGCAATTTCTGCATATGGCACTTTTTTATCATGAGTTGACTAACCTCCCTTTTACTGACCGCACTGCTCTCATTTCCCCCCACACAGTGAAATGCATTTGGGGAACAGGTTAGAAGTGAATAGCTGGGATAGCTGCTATTACATGTAGATTACTTGAAAATGAAAAATGCTTTTTGCAAGATTTATCAGGTTGAGAAAAAACATCATCCTTGCCCAGACTCCTAAATGAACGTTTGTACAGTGGTCAGTCTTGGAAAATGGAAGGTTTAGAAGTTTGTTAGAACAAATCAAATGTACAGTACTGATGGAATTTTCTACACGCACCCTAGAGAGTGAGGAGATATGATTTTGTGCCTCTTGCATCCTCTACTCTGTTTTTGTTTTACAATTTCCATCATCTTAATCCCTGTGCGCTTCTTTAACAGGGTGAATGTCAAGTTTAAGGCCCACTTATCGCTACCACCCTTTCTCTTTGTGTGTAATCATTCCTGTGCACAGGCAAAAGCAGTTTTAGTTTTTTTTGTTTTGCATATTTGTGACCCTGGACCACAAAACCAGTCATAAGGGTCAATTTTTCGAAATTGAGATTTATACATTATCTGAAAGCTGAATAAATAAGCTTTTCATTGATGTATGGTTTGTTAGGATAGGACAATATTTGGCCGAGATACAACTATTTGAAAATCTGGAATCAGAGGATGCAAAAAAATCTAAATATTGAGAAAATCGCCTTTAAAGTTGTCCATAGCAATACATATTACTAATCAAAAATTAAGTTTTAATATATTTACAGTAGGAAATTTACAAAATATCTTCATGGAACATGATCTTTACTTAATATCCTAATGATTTTTGGCATAAAAAAAAATCAATAATTTTGACGCATACAATGTATTTTTGGCTATTGCTACAAATATACCCCAGCGACTTAAGACTGGTTTTGTGGTCCAGGGTCACATTTAGTTTGTATATTGCACTTGCCCTACATTTGACTAGGTTTTGAGATTTCTAAGCATATCTAGATGGTGTAAATTATTTTTCTTAACTGATTTCACATAAAAATTAACAAAACTGATCTATTTATTCTGCCAGAAAAAATAAAACATCATCATGGACTCTAGAAATAAGCCCTGCTGCTGTCATTGTTCCAAGCCTTGATTTTTTTGTGATTATAATTACATAAAATATCCGACAGGCTAATACAAGCAGCACAATACATTTTAAATTCAATTTTCTGGTTTTAAAGTCATCTCCGGTATGATTGTTCTGCTTAATGTAAATAGGCTTAGGCAATAGGCTTAGTGCAAACCCCATCAAACAGGCAACCGTCTGAGTTGAGATTGCTGATAGCTGTTTAACTTCAGCCAAATTACTGTTTTTGGAATATGAAACCACATTTTTAAGTTATATAATACCAACAGCTGTGATTTAGACACTTTGTAGTGCAAAAGCATTTGTTAGAAGGTGGAGTTCTGTGGGGCAGTCACTGCAGCAGAGCCCATATGTCCACTGTTATTAGTCCAGAAGGCTTATAATGTGGTTTGGGATGTCCGGATGATCCTGCAGGTTACCTAAGACACGCTTTTCCTCCATACCTGCATATTTAGAGTGCAGATCAACTATTTGCAAACCTGAGGTTCCTCCAGGGCAGGATTCAGGCATATCCGCACGACTAAGGCCAGCCAACCTTCAGCACATGCTGAGTATAGCAAGAATCTGACACTGAACTAAACTCTATTGAAAGCCTTGATCTGTATATGAATAAATATCAAAGATCTACATTTCTATTTCCAAAAAGTGGGTTTCTGTTTCTATGAAAAAGTGGAGTTCTGCTTGTTTGTAAATGCAGAACGCATATCCTAAAGGGATTCTCAATGCTTGAAGGTTCTCTTGTTTATGAAAAATAGTTAATAATTTTTTTTTTGCAATTTTCATGTGTATATCTCACTTCACTGTCATGACCAGTTCCGAGTAACAGAAGCAATGCCACTACTTTTAGAAAAAAAGTGTGTATGTTAATAGTAATAGCAGGTGCATTTTTAAAATAAGTGAGAACAACATTATTTAAAAATCTAGTTAAAAGAATCACTTTCAGTTTGGTTTTGCAAGCAAATGTGTATTGTCTTGACTCTTGTTTTTTTTTTTTTTTTTTGTCTGTGCACTTTGTAGAATGTAATGCGGAAAGCTGAATGGTATTCTTCATGTTATAGCCTGTCCTGTACCATTTCTACAAGCAATTTGTTTGTTTCAAGGCTTAAAACATTGCATTCATTTTACCATCTCCCAAAATGAAAGAATGAATCAGTTCTCATAATCAACACCAAATATTTGTGTGCTTCCATTCTCCTCTTATGCACTCCACTCATAAACATTTTTTTCTGTCATTTTCTCTGTTTTACTTTCCTTGTATATAAACATGATTGCTGTGAATGGTGTAATATGCAGTTGTAACTGGTTTGTACCATCTTCAATGGGCAGTAGTTTAATGTTTCTTTCTGAGTGTTGGAATTATGAGTCAAATGTTTGTGTACACCTAACACATCGTCAGATATGAAATAAATGTGGAACTTATGCAACGCTATGCATGACTTTGTCTTTTGTGTGTGATTCAAGCCATTATTTTATGCATGAGAAAATAGAAAATCTCAAGTTGCATGTATCCCTGATTTTATATATAAAACGTATGGAAGCCTCTTTCCATCATGTAAAAAAAATAAAAAATAAAACTGGTAAATTTTGGCGACTATTTCACAATTCTGAAAAAGTTTGTATGTCACATTTATGAGATAACATCTCAAAATATTTTTTCTTCTCAGAATTGCATGTAAACATCTCACAATTCTGGCTTTTTCATTCAATTCTAAGTTTACATCTCATAGTTTTGATGTTTTTTGGAATTCTGAGTTTACTTTTTTTAAACTAATTTTGTCAATGAAAACAAAATAAAGTTAGAATTGTGAAATAAAGCATCTTTTATTTTCGTATTACTTGCAAGCTTTTATTGCATTACAAGCTTCCATAAAAATAGAGGCCTAAATACAGAATGGTAGACAGAATTCAGAATTTAAAGGGATAGTTCACCCAAAAATGAAAATAATATAATTAATTACTCACCCTCATGTCATTCCAAACCTGTAAGACCTTTGTTCACCTTCGGAAGACAAATTAAGATATTTTTTGATGAAATTGGAGAGCTCTGACCCCCCCATAGACAGCAAGGGTTCTACCACGATCAAGGCTCAGAAACGCAAGGACATCGTTAAAATAATCCATGTGACATCAATGGTTCAACTGTAATTTTATGAAGAGAATACTTTGTGCGCAAAGAAAACAAAAGTAAGGACTTTATTCAACAATTCGTCTCCTCCAATTTGTCGAGGAGGAGACGAATTGTAGAATAAAGTCGTTATTTTTGTTTTCTTTGCGCACAAAAAGTATTCTTGTAGCTTCATAAAATTACGGTTGAACCATTGGGAGGGTCAGAGAGCTCTCCGATTTCATCAGAAATATCTTAATTTGTCTTCCGAAGATGAAAGAAGGTCTTACGGGCTTGGAACGACATGAGGGTGAGTAATTAACTAATAATATTATTTTCATTTTTGGGTGAACTATCCCTCTAACATTGTTCATTCCAATTTAAAAATAAGTATTTAAAGGTCCACTGAAGTGCTTTGAAACATGCAGCATTGTTCTGTGTGTTGACGTCATTTCAACTGAAACAGGAAGTCAGGGCGGGACATATCAAGCAGTCCCGACCCCTTTTTAAAATAGCCAATAGCGTTTCATTTATATCACAGTTACAGTTTGGCCAGAGCCGTTGAGCTCGGTGAAGCTGCATTTGACAGCATATGACAGCCACAATCTCATATTGCTATAAAATATAGCATTCTGTGTAGAAAACGAACAGAAAATACAAATTCTGTGAACAAGTTACCGATTTGAGCTGCAGCTTCAGCCTCTATTTATAGTGCAGGGGCGGGACGCTTCGGGTTTTAGAGAGCGTTTGATCGGACAGAAAGTTTGATGAGAGGCTGAAGTGCAGTGTGATGTCATCAAAATCGCTGACATTGGCGGAAGTGAGAGACTGTAAGTTTTGAATGCTTATATCTTGTAAAAGCGAATTTTGTCATTGTTTTGGAGCACACTGGCTTATAGATAACCTTAAGCCTAACATATTCATACCAAAAGCCCAAAAAAATCAATTTTGATTTCATGGGGACTTTAAACAAATTCAAAATAAACATAAATTTACACTGATTTTATAAAAAAATAAGTCAGGAAAATCCCAGTAACTCTATGATCCTTTCACTATTGTCATTAAAAAAAAAAAAAAA